CGGGCCTGTCTCTGCTCACAGCTCTGCCATGCCTGTTGTACCAGTCTATCCTCTGAGTTAACAGCCGCCCTCTTGGGGCATTCAGCTGTGGCAGCTTGAGAAGTCATCCCTGCTGGGCTTGCTGACTGTTCACCCCCCTCATTGAGGGTCGGGGAGGGGCAGAGACTTCAGCTGAGTAAAGAGTGTCCATAGCAGCTGCTGCGTGCAGGGCTGCTCCCTGCACGTGGTCACGGAGAGGGCTGGGGTCTGTAGGCTGGGGAGGGGCTCCATCCTGTGCCTGTGGGGAAGTCATTTTCCTGCTGGGTAAAGAGTTTCCAGTGTGGCCTTTTGGTGGGAGCACATACACCCCAGTAACACCCCCTCACCCGTGCCGTGCCATGAAGCCACTTGAAGTGAGCTCTGGTGCTTTCACCCTTGGTGTGCTGGGGACTTTGCGCCTACCCTGGGAAGGAATTTTGGTCCCAGTGTCCCGCTGGTGATAGGTAGATTGTGGGGACTATGGCTCCAGGGTTGCTGGGGGGCTACAGAGGGTGATGTGTATAGGCAGCAGTGTGCTTCTGGGGTGGGGTTTGTCTTTCTCACTCTCTACTGAGAATGGGGGAGCTAGGCAGAGTCTCTCTGCGGCCCACCCACAGGTGAAGCAAGCCAGTGTCTTTCCATAGATGCAGGCAGCTCCTCAAAACTCGGTGTGATGGGCATTCCTGCTGCTCCACCCAAGGGCTTGTGGCTTTCTGCTGGGTGGCAGCTTGACAGTTTTGAGCTCAGTTGGCACTATTGTCCTGTGGCCCTCGTGGAGGAGTGTTGAGGGGACACTGCCCTGCCCAGGACGCTCTGGTATATCAGGCTAATTTTGCCATCCACAGGGGGTGCCTTGCTCTGGGCTGGTTGAATCTCTTAGTCCTTGGGGTGGGAAGAAGCCCGTTGCCATGCTTCACATCCCCTGTGCCCACGTCACAGGACCCTGTTGGTAGGGTGAATTTGTCTGCAGTGTCTGCAGGAGGCCTTAAGTCTGGCTGAACTTTCTCCCGGAGTCAGGTGTCTTGTGGGTGTGGCCTGAGCAGCTAATTGAGAGAGGATGCTGTGTCCTGGGTCCTCAGGACTGCAGGCTGAGGATAGCTTTGCATTGTTGACCCCTCTTGCTGAGGGTGACATTAGGGGATCATTGGCCTGCAGGCCCTCTTCTGTCTACTCCCTGGACATTCCAGGAGGAAGGAGGCGCCTTCAGAGAGGAAAGGCCCACAGAGCCTGATGTCTGTTTGTACCACTTCCTTCTCTGTGTTACTAGAACTGGGTGCTAGATGCTATCTAGACAGAGATGACTTAGGGGAACCAGCTGTGATGTGGACACTGTGCTTGTGCAGTGGCTCGGTTCCTTAAATGGGAACGTGACAAGATGAGTAACCGCAGCCTCTGCCTTGAAGCTCTCAGACTTGGTTTTCGATAGGACTCTCTCTCTCTCTCTCTTTCATTTTCCGAGACTGGAGCCTGTTCTGGAAACTAGCTCTTGTAGTTCGAGACCAGGCTGGCCTCGAACTCACAGACATCCACCTGCCTCTGCCCTCTGGAGTGCTGGGATTAAAGGTGTGCACCACCACCATCCGACTTTGCTTCTTTTTCTTTAAAAAAAAAAAAATCCTTGACTGTGAGTGCCACTCACTTGCTGTATTAAGTTTTCTTTCTCTCTTCTCTCTCTCTTTCGTTCTCTCCTCCTGTCATCTAAGTTTCGGGTTATTGAGTTCAGGTTGTCAGGCTTGGCAGCGAGGGCCTTCCTTCACCACAGACCCAGGCCATGCCGTTTCTTAGTAAACGGCCTGGCTTAGGGGAAATCACTCGTGCAGGTGGGTGGCCCCCGGAGACTGGATGACTGTACAATGGGTCTGGTGCTGTTGTGGGGATGAGCTTTTTTCTGGGACAGACCTCAGGAGTTGCATTGTGGGAAGCCAGGAGCAGCCTCCACAGTGTTGGCCCTAGAACAGACCAGGCTCAAGCTCCTCCAGTCCAGATGGGTCTCCTGTGTGTGCTGTCATTGTGGGATCCTTTACTGGTACACACCCCCATGAGTGTGGAAACAACTTGAAGTCTGGACTGTCTCTGCAGTTAATCGGCAAACCCTGCTGGCCTTGCAGCTCCTTCTTGCTCACAAAAATAAACCTGTCAGTACACAGATTGAACAGGAAGTCAGTACACAGATTAAACAGGAAGTCAGTACGGAGAAGCCTGCAACAACTTCTGGACTGAGGCCCCGGTGGAACATTCCCAGGGAGAGCTGCTGGCAGGGGAGAGGCCTGCTCAAGGTTGCCACCCCTGCAGTCACTGCTGCCATTGTGGCTGTTTAGGCCTGCCCTGATACTTTGTAGGGTATGAGTATGGGTGCACACAGCACTCACTGGTTTCTGGACGCTTCTGTTGCTCAGGTTTCACCTTGCCCAGAGCCCCTCCCCTCTGTGTTGCCTGCTGAAAGCCTCGCACAGCTCCAGGCATCACCTCCCCTCCCCTCCCCTCCCCTTTGACCCTGTGTGTCTGACAGAACTCTGGCGCTGCTCTGGACTGTCTGGTGTGGATGAGTATCCTCACCTTCCTCTATGTGAGCTGGTGGGCATCTCTGCCCACATGGTGGCTGTGTGGGTCTGAGGGTGTGGCACGGAGTAAAGCAGGCAGACCAGGTCCTCTCTCATCTGCTCTACATGGTGGGCATGTGCCCTGAGACGGAGGCTCAGGCTGCACCTCTTGGGGGCTCCCAGGTTAGCTGGGAGGTTTCCTAGTTCTCCCTCTTCCTCTAAGCCTGCTCAGGCAGCAATCACACTCAGGACTTTTGTTTGCAAACCAGCAGCAACAGGAAGGATGCCCTCTCCTCCCCTTCCCTGCTGAGAGCAGGGAGTTGCTGCATTCTCATCTCTGCACAGGTGGCCAGGGCCTGGTGAAGTCTTCCCAGACCCAGGGAGCCACTACCTTCCACTGTTGACTGAAGTTTTCTTGGCAGTGAGTTGGTCATGGTAGACCGGTGGGCTTTCTGGGAAGTGCAGCTGGGGGCCATCTGGTGTCTTGCAGTGCTGGAGCCCTGGGCAGAGTCACTGCTGGAGTGGACCAACAGTGAAATCATCTTCCTGGAATCTTCCTTGAGCCCCAGGGTGCTGAGGAAATGCTGCCCAGAACCCTTCCCAGTCACACACTGGAGGGCTTCCTGCTGCTCTCTGCAGTCTGGGATTTAGAGTGGTTTGTGTGGGGTTTTGCACGGGCCAGCAGGGGCATGGCTCAGCCTGGATACACTGAGGCTTCCTGGGGTGTAGCTTCAAGCTTTGTGCAGTCAACCTCATGTTGGTGGGACAGCTGAAGGGCCTTCTTGTCAAGGCAGCCCCTCCAAAGATCAGCCCTTTCCCCACGGCATTGCACAGCCTTTCTCCTTACAGCAGTTGTAAAGAGATTTGGTGTTCTAGGTCCTCCGACAGCGGAGCCCAGGAGTCCTTCATTGTTATTCTTCCTGGCCAACCTTGTTTCCAGTATCATAGGAGGGAATTTAAAAACATGTGTCTTTTGTTTACTTTTTTGGCAATTTTGTACCTTTATACAATGTGTCTTGATCCTCTCTATTCCCCAGCAGAATCTTCATATCCTTTACTTTTTAAAAATAAAAAACATTCCTTTTTGTTTCCACCACTGAGCCTGTGTGCAAGTGGCATATGCTGTGCTGCAGTGGACAGAGTTGTCTGTCCACTAGTTGTTGGGTCCACTAGCCTGGAGTTGCTGCTGTGAGCTGCCCACTGTTGGGGACTGAGCTCGTGCTCTCTGCCAGAGCAGCCAGAGCCCCTAACTGCTGAGCTGCTGCTCCTGCCCTCCTTCCCAGCGAGTGCAGTCAGTGCTGGCTGCTGGAATGCCAACTGATGTTGTTGGCATGCCCTTGTGCTGGCACTGTAGCCGCCCCTAGTTCATGGGCGCAGCAGCCACATCACACCCAGAAGCCAGCATTTCACAGCTCTCCTCTTCACCATCCTTCAGCTCGTAAATCCTGCTGTTCTCTTCCTGGGCGCTCTCTGAGGCTTGGTGAGCTCCATGGAGATGTCCAGTTCAGGCTGAGCACTCAACAATCACTTACTCTCAACCCTCTAACCAGTTACAAGTTTTCATTAACTGCTGGCCACTACGGAAAGGCTTCTCTGGCCAAGGTTGAGAGCCCCCCATGGGCATAGCCATAGATATTTAGAAGGCAGTTTAACAACACGTCTATTTAGCAAAAAAAGAAAAGAAAAAAAAACAACAAAGCCAAAAACAAAAACAAAGACAGTAATAGGTTCCCCCTAGAGCTTGACTTTCTAAGCCATGGACCTTTGATCAGATTTACAGTACCAGGAATGCATTCCTTCCTGTGGATGGGCCTTAGAGGACAGAAGGTGGCTGGTCACCCCACATCCTTCATGCCACTGTTGCACCATGGGGCATTTCACCTGTGGGGGTGTGTGTGTCACTGCTGGTGCCACCATGGATGACTTTCCTCCCCGCTGGTGTGCATAGCACCACTCAGCACTGTTGAAGCCACCCAGTAGGGAGGAACTTTTCAGGTCATCCAGGTGCAGTCCTCAGTGTCCTACAGCTAAGGCGTGTTGTGTCTTCAGCAGTCTTGCTATCTGGTTCTGGGGGAATCCAAGAATAGCATCAATAGCCTGTGTTTGGGGGCCTCTGGGCCATCCCTGACAAGTAACCACCAGTAGCCAGGGTTTTCTGAGGCATGTTGATGTCAAAGGGGCAGATTTAGCCACGCAGGAACTTTGTGAGCTTTTTTGTGGCTGCTTTTACTCGGCCCCTGAGTTATTGGGAGTGATTTTGGTTGGGTTTGTATATAGGCATTGCCATTTTAGTTGTGCAACACCGACTGCTTCGAGGTGTGAGGGGGGAGGAGGACTTAAATTATATGGGGAAAATGTGAAATGGCCAAACGCTCCCAAAAGAATCAGTCAGTCCACAGAGGTATTTGACACAGTAGCTCATGTGCATGTTTCTTTAACCAGGTCACCATGGCTGTTACTGGCTCCCTTGCTGTCCCCAACTGTTCCTCAGATCACCTCCCCACCTTGCTGCCTATGTCCCGAGGGTGTGCACAGGTTTCAGTGGATCAGAAACCTGGTCCCGGAATTCGGAGTCCCCAGCTCTCACGTCAGGGTGCTTTCTTCCCCTGCAGAGTTCTTCGAGCTCTTAAAGGTAAGTCCTTTGAGGAACTGAGACAGGAGTTGGATGGGGGCAGGGTGTCAAGGTTTGCTAGGCCCTGACACCCACTCTGGTGCAGCTTTGCTTAGCTTGTGCCTCTTCTGTCAGATTTCACCTTCATCTAGGGCTGAGTTGAACAGAAACCTCTTGGGGAGCCAGTGTCCCAGAACAGGAAGGAGTGAGAACATGGCTAGACTCTGAGTATGGAGGCAGGGAGGACTGGTAGCCCCCAGTCCTTCTCTACTAAAAGATGAGGGGGGCTGTGATGAAAATCCCTTCCCTGGGTGGCAGCATCATCTGGGTAGCTGTGTTGCCTAGGGGAGTCTGAGGTGGGATCTGATGAGTATGTGCAGTGGCCACTTGGTCACAGGGCCCTTCAGATCAGGGGCCTTGCTGGCATGCATCCTGGATCACTGGTGTATACTTCCTTCTCCTTGGAAGTGATGTCCCTTTGCACCGAGGGCTTGCTTTTCACAGTACTCGGGTTCCCATTACACGTCCAGTTTATAGTCGGACTGCTCATTGGAATGAAGTAATTCAGTGCTAATTAATCCTTAACTACGTGAACTATGTTCATATTAGCAATGGCTCTGGAATGGAGATCTGGTGACCAGCAGCGTGCTAGGAGATAGCAGAGACCCAGATTCAGGTTCATCTCTGGGGAAAGTGAGCGCTCATCGACAGAAAGCCTGCTGTCTCCTGCTCTCACCTCTGTCTGAGCTGGTCCACACTTAGCTGCATTTCTGGCAGACTCATTCTTTGTGTGTGTGCCTGTGGGCAGGGCTGAGCTGGGTTCATGCTCATGTGTGGGCCAGTGCCCATGGGGCCCCTTGCTCTTGTTGCACCCTGCTTCTCCATTCTCTCTCACTGTGAGGATGGTCCTGCGGTGTCCTCCCTCTGACCCGAATAACTGGTTATCCCAGGTGTCAGGAGGCCGGGTCATGCTCTGCACCTGCCCACAGGTGCAGAGCGAACTCTTCTGCTGTTGAAGAGAAGCAGCAGGGGGCCTGCATTACCTGTCCCTGGACCGGAGGGCAGACTGGAGGACCAGCAGGCTCCCTTGTCTTTCGCCACCTGACATGTGTGACAGATGTTGGCCCTCTGGTCTTTGGCTGTTCCTGTGCCTGCCTTCTACAGGGGTTGTCTGGGATCCTGGCATCCTGTAGTGAGCAGCCCCTATAGACTTTGGTGGTTGGGGCTGAACTGACTCCGCCTGTTTTTTTTTTTTCTCTACAACCTCGATTTTAATAGATAACAAAACAAAGGAAGTAGCAGCCTGAGGATGTTGTTTGTTTTTTCCTTGTGCCTAAGCATTTCCCAGGGGTGTGTTCATGCATCTGTCTAGTCAATATGCCCAACTTCCTGAGTGGACCGTACTAGCTGGGGTGATAGCCCTTTTTCGGCTGCAGGCCTTTGCTGTGTTTGTGGGCCTCCTTCTAAGTATGCTTTCCTGTGTCCATTGGAGTTGATCTTTGCAATTTTGGGAGACAGAGTCCCATGTTGCCTCAGCTGGCCCCTAACTCGATATAAACTCCCATCTTCCTTTCTTATCTCACGAGGGCTGGGATAACAGATGTGGCAGTGTGCACTGCTGTGCTTTGTGTGCTTGCTGACGTTCCTGGGGGGTGGCTGTCTAGGGCTTTGAGATGGGATCCTTTATTCTCCTGGGCTGGAGCAGGGCCTAGAGAGGACACTGGCTGTTGAGACAACTTGGGATGTGTTGTCTTTCATGTGTGCCTGTGCCTGTGCATGTGTGTACCCATGCTTGATCACAGACAGCCAGACTTCAGATGTTGGCAAATGCAGCTTTCTGTCCCCTTCCTGCCAGTCCTTCTTCCCAGAGGTATTGAAAAGTCTCCATGCTCCTTTTGGACATGAGTGCAGCTGTGTGCCTGTGGGGTTCATCCGTGAGGCTGTGTGGGTTCTGTTTTAGCAGCACATTGTGGGGGTGAGCTCTCATCAGGGTGCACGGATCTCCCTCATCCTGGTAAAGTGCCCGCTTCACAGTCATGAAGATATGAGTCCCATCCCCAGCACTACAGGAAAGGCTAGGTGAAGTGGCTGGACTCCTAGCCTGCTGGCCAGCCAGACTGTTTGGTGAGTTCCAGGCTAGTGACACCCTATCTCAAAATAAAACAAAACATGGTAGAATAAACCCAAAGTGGTTCCATGTCCCCATATGTGTGTCTACACACTTACATGTGACCAGCACTTAAGACAAATATACATATGTAAATATATAATACACACATACATGTGTGCCCCTGATCTCCTTTACTCAGTGGTTGTGTGGTGTTTTGTTGTCCCATTAGACTGTGCCTTGCTTTGCAGACTGAATATTTGAATTAAGGTTGTGCGTCCTCCTTTGGGAAGTCACTGTGTCTGTGCTCGGCTAATTGGAGAATTAATGGTGAGGACGTAGAGCCAGCCATTCAGCTTAGATGTGATTTGCCTCCGAGTGGACTATAAAAACAATGAATGTAATGTAGAATTGTTATTCCTTTTCCAGGGGCAGATAAAAACAGCCAAGAGGCGAGTCGTGATGGCATCCCTCTACTTGGGGACAGGACCTTTGGAGCAGGAACTGGTAAGGCTTAGGGGCAGGGCAGCAGGTGGAGCCAGCTCCACAGTGTTGACTCCAGCTGCCTTTCTGGCCTCTGCACATAGGTGTCCCTAGTGCATGACAATGGTGTAGGAGACCCAGTTGTACTGGCCAGCAGTTCCCCAGTTCTTACAGGGCTGTTTGGGCTGCTCTCTCTGACATAACCCAGAGGCTGCATCAGGTCCATGGCCTGCTTTTGTGTGACCCGAAGAATTGCCACTGATTTCAAGATGTTGGAGGAAACCCAAAGGTTGTGAGTCATGTAAGGTTCATGACATTCACCTGTCAGCGTGTTATGGGGGCACAGGCACACTTGTCCTCTCCTGTGTCAGTGCAGTTGTAGGGGCACAGGCACACTTCCTCTCCCGTGTCAGTGCGGTTGTAGGGGCACGGGCACACTTGTCCTCTCCTGTGACAGCCGCATGACTGAGTGGTCTTGGCAGAGACCATCCTGGCTCACAAGAGCTAAAATACTCAGCAGCACTTTTCAGAAAACATTTTCTGACTGTTTTCTGGGCTGATGAGCTAAATACAGTTAGGGCCAACTGGCTGGCTGTTGGGTGTACAAGGGGTAACAGGACGTGACCAGCCTTGTCCCCTGGACTTTCTGGTGTGTCGTAGCTGTCATTTTCAGTAAGGAAGATAGGGCTAGGAGGAGCCTAAGCCAGCTAATGAGTTCAGAAATGCTGGCTGTAGAGTTGCCCGCAGCAGGCAGCGTCTGGGTTGAGCTGGAGCCTGTGAATGTGGCTTATCTGTCTTCTCTCTGGGCACTTTTCTTTCAGAGGGATGGAAGGTGTGTGGCTGGTGCTGTATGTTCTTCCTTGATTTATTGTAGTTAGAGACGGGTGGGTTGGAGCTGGGACATGGTGCGGCATTGGTGTGTGGAGCCCCGGGGGAGGTAGGCTAGCCTGAATACTTGCATCTTTGACTGGAGCACGGAGGCCTCCCTCCACTTCCCTGTCATCCTGTTGAATTGCAAGCTTGGGAAGCTCATTTGTTCTCTTGGGAAAGGGACGGGAGGGCCAGTGGGCAGGTTCCATCTTGGATTTACTCATCATCCTGTGGATTCCCAGCTAGTACTACTCCGCATAGGGTACAGCACTGGTGTTGTGTCTGGAGGGGATGTGGAGATGTGAGAGACCCGAGATCCAGGCTGTCAAGCACTGTGGACTTCTGCCCTGTACTCCACCTTCCTCTTGAGGCCCAGGCTGGAGAGGGAGCTTGGCAGGGGCTGATAGATCGCGCACGCAGTCATTTCCATGGCTCATTTCTCAGGGGCAGAAACAGCTCTTTGGTCTCACACGTGTTCCTTCGATTCTCCTAGGTGGATTGTCTGGAGAGTTCTCTGGAGAAGTCACTACAATCCAAGTTTTCTTCCGACCTCAAGGTCTCCATCCTCCTGGACTTCACCCGTGGCTCCAGAGGTAGGTGTTCTGCACTTCCTTTGGTCTGAGGAGCCACCCTCTAACAGACCCGCACAGGGCTGCCTGCTGGTTCCAGTCATGGTTCCTTCTATAGCAGATGGCTGTATGCAGCCCAGGTTGAAACAGTCAGGACAGAACAGAGTTTTCCCTAATCTGCAGCTACTCAGGGTCTGTCTCTGCCCTGCTTCCTTTGGCCTTGATTTATTTTAAGGCTTTGTGTGGGGGTCCCTGGTGGTTGAGGCCAAGTTCCCAGGGCACCTGCTTCCTTCTCTGAGATTCAGGCCAAGTGACTGCTGTCAGGTATGCACTAAGTCTAGCTGATGGCTGCATCTGGCTCAGGCTGGTATTTTTCTTCTGGAGCTGGGGTGAGAGGTCAGGACACTGAGTGGGAGTGGCTCCCCAGGAGGCACTCGCTGACTTAGGAGGAGGAGGGGGTCTAGCGTGGCTGAAGCAGTCCTGCCCTGGAGCAGGTGTGTCATGGTCAGAAGCTGCGCTGTTTGATGTGGCTCCTTCACCGGGCCCCAGGTAAAGTGAGGCTCCTAGGGAGTTGGTCTGTCTGGCAGTCAGGACATCTGTCTTTCCTGGAGAAGCCACAGCTGTCTCTGCTGCTCACATACAGGGAGGAAGAACTCGCGCAGCATGCTGCTCCCACTGCTGCAGAGGTTTCCAGAGCGCGTGCGTGTCTCCCTCTTCCACACACCAAACCTCCGAGGACTCCTCCGACTCCTTATCCCTGAGCGCTTCAACGAGACCATCGGACTCCAGCACATCAAGGTGTACCTCTTTGACAACAACGTCATCTTGAGTGGGTGAGCTAGTGCTCCGTTGTGTTCTCTAGCTGGGAGTTCAGTTCAAGGCACAAGGCCAGTCTGCCCCCAGCTCCTGAGAGAGGTGCTATGCTGGTTGTAGATGGCGCTCACCTCCTCTTTGGAAGGTAGACGGTGTGCTGAGCCTCTGCACTGGTTCACTGTTTGTTATGGTGACTCTGTCACTGTGCACCTCACTTCATGTGAGGAAGACGGATCAGAGGACAGGCAGAGCCCAGGAAGCACACACTGAGCACGGTGGAAGCCCAGCTCTGTGGGCTGTGACATCTCTGACAGACAGCTGTGTGGCCTACAGCACCTGTTCTCCACCTGGGTTTGCTCCTGATGTGGGGTGCCATCTCTGTTCTCTTACTCAGTGTCAGCCTGGCTGGTGTCCAGCACAGAGGCTGCTCTGGTTTCATCATACCATGGGATTGTCATTCCTCACCTACTTACCCTGAGGCCTGGTTCAGTAGGCCATACATCCTCTTGGCTGCGCCCTCATCTGATTCTTCGTCTCTGTAGTGCAAACTTGAGTGACTCCTACTTCACCAACCGCCAGGACCGCTATGTGTTCTTACAAGACTGTGCTGAGATCGCAGACTTCTTCACAGAGCTGGTGGATGCGGTGGGGGATGTGTCCCTGCAGCTGCAGGGGGATGACACCGTGGACGTTGTGGATGGCATGGTGCACCCTTACAAAGGTAGGGCAGCCTTCACGACGCTCCTCTGACTCCTGTAGACCACAGGCCAGAGGAGCACCTCTGTGGTGCTTGCTCCAGGTGCAGGAAACGGTGTCAGAGCTTTCAGCATTTGTTTCTTAAGCCAGAGAAATGCAATTTACTGGCTCTTACATGCTTACCTGCCCTGTAAGCAAGAGCCAGCCTGGGAAGGTGGAAGTTTGGGCCCAGGGTCCTTGTACCTTAATCAGGTGAGCCAGGAGACTGCCTTGGTTTTTACAGGAAGTAGCCTGCCTAGTGACCACACTCCCACCTCAGCCTCTTCCCCAAATCTCCTATCCTAGCAGCCCCATGGAGGTCTGTGGCTGCCTGACTGGAAAAGTGAACTGGGAGAGCCCAGCTCTGCTGCAGCAAGCCCTTGCGAAGTGTTCTGGGCACTCGCATTCCTGTGATTCCTGTGGCTGTGGCTTCTCCTGGCCTTGAAGGGTTGCTGCTGAGTGTGCAACAGACTGCCAGCTGAGGGACAGCTTAGAGAAGGGGAGAAACCTGGCCCTTGTGAGAGAAAAGCTCTCATGTCCTGTGCTCTTCCTGATGACAGTCCTGTCCAGTGCCAGGGAGCTGTGACTGCCCACTGAGGCTGTGGTCTCTTGATGGTCCTGTCTGCCCCAGGGAACATTTAATTGTTACCACTGTGCATTGAAGTGCATCAGTTAAATGTTTTGTGGAAAATTTCTTTCCCTCTGTGTATCCTTAGATTTGTCTTTTGGTCCCCAAGCCTAAAATGTGTACTATCTGGGCCTTGAAGAAATGCTTATGCCCTGGTGTACTGCGCCAGACTAGGCACAACTAGTCGGGAATGACTGTGTTTAGGGACAGTTGAGATGTGTCATGTTTAGAGCAGGGACATCTTGCTCGGTGGCAGGGTGGGTTTCTGCCCAGTTGGTTTCTTCTCTGTTCCTAGTCTAGCTCATGAGAGGCATCCACGTGTCTGTCCCTGTTCTCAGTGCAGGCCGTGTGAGTGTGGGTGACCCAACATAGCCCCGCTTCGTGCTGCTCTCCTCTCTGACCAGCCTGCCTTGCTGCCTCTGGGTCTTCCATGCTGACCTCCTCTCTGGACTCTGTCCGTGGACCGGTCATCTTCCTGATACTGCAGCGTTGCTTTGCTCTCCACAGACCTCAGGACAGTGTGTCTGCAGAGTTGTGTGCCATATGCGTCCATTCCCTGTGGGGACAGTGTCCCTGCGGAGCTCGAGCCTGCCCTCAGGGCTTCTGTTCGTGGTTACCGTGCTTTCCTGCCACATGTGTTCTGGGCCACGTGTGTGTTCTTGGTTCTTCATGTGAATATACGATCTTTTTCTGAACACATCTTTCACTTTTATTTCCTTTGGACAGGGTCTCATGTAGCTCAAGTTGGCTTAACCTTTTCCTCCCATGTTCCAGCACTGTAATCAGGTGCCACCCTGCCTGTTCCTGGCATGTCTTTTATCTAAATGATCTTTCTTACTGAAGTACATAGCATGCCTCTCAGACAGACACTAAAGAGGAGCAGCTCAGGCCCCGTCGCAGTGGCTTCACAGAGCTACCTGACCCCCAACTGTTGTCCCCAAGGTACCAAAGTCCTGGTGTTTGCTACCTCACATTCCTCTCCTTGTATTTTTGAGTTTTTGTAGCTGGAATTAACCTGTGTCATGCCCTACCATGTCTCCTTGCACTGGTCCTGTGGGCAGGGCCCTTTTCGACTGCTGCCTTCTTTGCTCCTTGATCTTAGTCTGTGTTCTGCCAGTAAAAACTTGTGCATTTGCCCTTAGCAGTCACATGGTGTGTGCCTTGAGCCAGCAGAATCTGGATGGGTATTTAAATGGTCTCATGTAGCTCAGGCTGGCCTTGACTGTGTAACTGAGGATGACCGCAGCTCCTGATCCTCCTGCCTCCACCTCCTGTGTACCACTACTTCTGGCTCTCCATGTTCTCTTTCCTCTTTCTTATGTCCTCTGTAGGTGACCGGGCTGCATACTGCAGAGCAGCTAACAAACGGGTCATGGACGTGATCCACTCAGCCAGAACCCGACAACAGATGCTGCATGCACAGACCTTCCACAGTGAGACTCTGCTGAGTCAGGAAGAGGCTGCGGCTGCTGGGGACCGGAGACCAGCACCAGACACCTGGATTTACCCACTGATCCAGATGAAGCCCTTTGAGATTCAAATAGATGAGATAGTCACTGAGACCCTGCTGACAGAAGCTGAGCGGGGAGCTAAGGTCTTCCTCACCACTGGCTACTTCAACCTGACCCAGGCCTACATGGACCTGGTGCTGGGCACTCGAGCAGAGTATCAGATCCTCCTAGCCTCACCAGAGGTGAATGGCTTCTTTGGAGCCAAGGGCGTGGCGGGCGCCATCCCAGCTGCCTATGTGCACATCGAGCGACAGTTCTACAGCGAAGTATGCAGCCTGGGGCAGCAGGACCGGGTCCAGCTGCAGGAGTACTGGCGCAGGGGATGGACCTTTCATGCCAAAGGTACGTGGGGGCTGGCCAGAACCCCCATTGGGGGTGTTCTGTGCTCCTGGTCACACAGAGCACATGTGGGAGAGCCCTGCACTGGGTTATCTTCCTAGCAGCCCTTGCAGGTCCTGCCTACCTGTCCCAGGTCCGGGAGGGATGATGCTATCCTATTCAGGGGATGGAGTTGTGCAGAATACTTCCCCTGTATGTGAACACAGCTTTAAAAATGGAAACCACTTGGTGAATATTCCTTTTTTTTTTTTTTTTTTCCTGATTCTGGGGACCAGCCCCAAAGCTTTCACTTCTACCGCTGACTTAAATTGAATCCTCAGTCCTTTGGTAGCTATTGAGGGACATGTGATGTACTGTCTGCTGAAGGAGCACAAGGAAACACGGAAGGCTTGCTTCTGTCTTTGGGGCTCACACCTAGCTGCTGTGCAGGGGACTTCCTGCAGATTGCTGATTTGTCGTGAATAACCCGTTTTCCTGTCTTCCTCACTTTGATAGATCCTTTTTCTGTTTTCTCGTCTCTGCTTCTTCTCCCCGTAACTGAGAGGATGGAAGCAGCATGCTCAGTTTGTAGTCCTTACTTAGTGAAAGTCATGAGAACTTTGCTTCTTTTCTTTGTGGTTCCAAGGGTGCGGCCCAGAGCCTTGTCCATGGGAGGCTGGCGTCCGTCACTGAGCTGTGCTGTGCACCCAGCCGGTGCCCTGGACCCTCTGCATGCAGCCCTGTGGTAGAGATGGTTATTGCTGCACTGAGTCTTCACTGTGCTCCAAGGAGAGCAGCCCAGGCGCGGCTGGCTCTCAGGTGCTGAGAGCTCTCTGAGGGCTACATGAAACTTGTTGGGAACCTTGAACCTGGCAACAGTTTGCCCAAGGCCCATTGCTGAGGGTTCCTGCTTCAGGGTAACACTGCCCGAGGAATTCATCTTAGCCCCAGTGCCTGACCTATAACTGCAGAGGTTATCTGGGTGTGCTGGGTTCTTGTGGCTTCTCTAGGCAGTCCAGAGGGCTGCTGTGCCTGGCCTCAGCGTGTATCTGGGCTCTTGACATTTGAGGCCATCTTTGACTCCTCAGATAGAACTTTTTTCACTCTCTGATCTCTGAATCTGGCCTTTTCTTTTCTTTCGTTTTCCTTTCCTTTCCTTTCCTTTCCTTTCCTTTCCTTTCCTTTCCTTTCCTTTCCTTTCCTTTCCTTTCCTTTCCCCTTTCCTTTCCTTTCCCCTTTCCTTTCCTTTCCTTTCCTTTCCTTTCCTTTCCTTTCCTTTCCTTTCCTTTCCTTTCCTTTCCTTTCCTTTCCTTTCCTTTCCTTTCCTTTCCTTTCCTTTCCTTTTCTTGTTTTTCAAGACAAGGTTTCTCTGTAGCCCTGGCTGTCCTGGAACTAGCTCTGTAGACCAGGTTGGTCTCAAACTCACTAAGATTGCCTGTCTCTGTTTCCCTAGTGCTGGGATTAAAGACATGAGCTACCACTGCCCCACTGAATACAGCATTTTCAGTGGGGATACTTTTTTGTTTTTGTTGTTATTTGAGATAGGGTCACTATATAGCTGTCTGGTCTGCAGCTCTCTATGTAGAGTAGACCAGGAGATACTGGAAATCAGATCCGCCTGCCTCTGTCTCCTGAGCACTGGAATTAAAGACATGCACTATTATTCCTGGCTAGTGGGGATATATTTTAAGAAATACTGTTCAGCTGAATCCAATTATCTGTATTGTTAGTTATTTTTAAAAAAAATATTTGAGCCTTGTATTGGTTGCGTACACCTTTAATCCCAGTACTTGGGATGCAGAGGCAGGTGGATCTCTGAGTTCGAGACCAGTCCAGACATCCAGGGCTATAGAGAGAAACCCTGTGTAGAAAAACAAAAAACCAAAAAAGAAACAACAAAAAAATTCACAATTGTGTGAGTGTGTGTGCGTGAATGTGTCTCTCTGTGTGTGGCCTGCTTATAAAGGTTAGGAGACAGCTGTGGGAATGAGGTCTCTCCTTCTACCAAGTGAATTGCGTCCATCAAATTTAGGTCTCAGACTTGGTGGCAAACGCCTTAACCCCCGACCCATCTCACCATCCTTTGTTTCCTTCCATTTGTGGTTCGTGGTCCTGGGATGAGTTCTGTGCCTTGCACATGCATCACATACTCCTCCCAAAGAGGACGTTCTGCCCCGGAGACTGGCTTCTCACCATAGGAACGCTTCAGCTGGGAATGGCCAAGTTGCCTGCCTGTCCAGCTGGTCCTGCCTGTGCACGGAAGCCCGCATTCCTGCCCAGGCAGGCAGCCTTGTTTGTGTGGGAAGTGACTGCCCCATTGTTGGTCTCATCTTAGCATGTGGGCTAAGTGAAGCTTGCGGTCAGGTGTCTCTGGGCAGGTAGAGCTGGCTAGAGGGTGTGTATGGAAAGTCTTCAGGTTGGCCCAGTTCCTTCTGGGAACGACAGCAGAGCCCAAGGGTGGGGACGCAGGGAAGAGCTGAGCATCTGGGTGAAGCCAGAGTTTTGGAGAGGCTCAGTAATTCACTGGTCCCCGCACAGCCAGAGGCAGGCCAGACAGCATGCTCCTCCAAGTACACTGCGACCACCCTAGGCCAGCCTTGCAGCTGCAGAGACTGTAGTCTGAGTCCTGCTTTACTGCCGTGTTCCTGAAGAAGCCTCCCAGTTACACCCAACTGGCTTTTCCTGCGTGTCTCTCCTCGCCTTTTCTCGGACTGTGTGCTCTTGCCCCCTGCTCGCTCGCTCGCTCGCTCGCTCGCTCCCTCCCTCCCTCCCTCCCTCCCTCCCTCTCTCCCTCTCTCTTCCTCCCTCCCTCTCTCTCCCTCTTGCTTGCCCTGATGTGGGTGGGGCCCTGCTATCTGTGAGTGCTGGATCAGTGGGGGAACAGGGAGAGCCTCATATCTGGATCCTAGAATTATGTGTGTGTGTGTGTTTGTGTGTGTAAAACAGGAAGGAGGACAAGAAGGTGGAGCTAAGTGGGGGTAGATGGTACTGGGAAGTTTGGTTCTGAGATGGGGTCTCACGTAGCCTGAGCTGCTTGCAGTGTCACTGAGGATGACCTTGAATTTTAGACCTTCTGAGTTTTGGGATCACAACCAGCTTGAAGCAGTTTCTTCTGAGTAGGGTCCTGGCCAGGACCTAGAGGTCAGAGGTTACTCTGCCAAGGTGAAAGGCCAGCACCCTTTCCTGCTTAGTGGCTGCTAAGGTGGGTCACAGCTCTTTTCTGGCACACCTGTGGACAGGTGACCTGTATCAGTATGGGGTGATTGGGCAGGTGGTCCACGGGGTGCTTGTGGGTTTTGCTGGTTGGTGCAGTGAACTCTTTCTAGCAGGGCCTGTGCTGTATACAGGATGTGGACCTGCTTGTTTGTGTCTGCTGTGGGCCCCTGGAAAACTGCTGGTTACCATGTAGTTGCTTCTCTTGTTCTCTTGCCCAAGCTCCTACAAGACGGGCTTGGGCTGGTCTCAACTGTTTCTGCTCCGAAAAGCCTCAGGAGGTATCACTTTGCAGCATAGCTTTTCCCAGGGACAGGCACAGGATGCTAGGAGGACCCTGTTGAGCTTGCTGGTGACCCTGTGAGGTGGCTTAGTGAAGAAGATGGTTTAGTCCCTTTCCTTGGGAAGTCTTCTTGGTAAATGCTCATAGCAGTCGCACTGTGGATCTCCTTGCAGCGATTCAGAAGCCTAGGGTTGCTCTGTAGTGTTTGCTGGGGAGCTGAGTGCAGCTTTGTGGCCCTAGCATTGGGGGCAAAGGGTAGGGATCGAGGCCAGCCTGGTGTGGACAGAACCACAGGACTGGATTACTCACTGCTGCTCAGATGCCTGCTGGGAAGTCATGGCAGTTGACTCTAGAGCACTGGATGGAACTCACGTCCCTCCCAGGCTTTGCTGATGTCTTAACGCCATTTCAAAGACCCACAGAGACACTCAGTGCGTAGTTTTCTTAGTGGGAATTTTTGGAAGTGTTTCCTGGGAGCTCAGTTGACTTGGGCAGGAGTAGGCGTCGTCTGGAGACAGCAGAGTAGTTCACCAGCAAGAGTGTGTAAGTGAGCAAGAGTGTGTAAGTGAGCAAGAGTGTGTAAGTGAGCAAGAGTGTGTAAGTGAGCAGCAGTGCACAGCCAATGAGGGCTTCCTGGGAGGAGGCTCTGCTCACAGAGTGGATGACGGGTGCAGTGTGAGTAGAGGGACACCTGGGATCCCCTGATGTGTAAAGTCTCTGCCTTGTCACCTGCACATGAGCATCCCAGCTCACAGTGGCCCTGGCTTAGCAGCAGACGGCTGTGGCGTTTTGAGGGCTCCTCTTACCTCTAAGCCCTTGTAAGAGTGCTGTGACTTGCTGCTGCCACCAGGAGTGGGGTGTCACGTTCACAAGTGTACAGGTGAGAGGCTTGGGGTAGAGCTCAGTACTGGAGCAGCTGCCTACATTCAGATACACAGTGCTGTCCTCGGCACTGCAGCGCCTCCCCACCTCAGCTGGTGTGGGTTCTACTCTGTATCTTGCTTTTCTGCTGTCAGGAAGCTAAACACTTGTAAACTCCTAGGTGGGTGGGCTGTCCTAAGTTGTCTGTGTGCAGGTTTGTTACTGTACCTCTGTCCTTGACTGGAGAGAGTCCTGGGGAGAAGGCAGCGGGGCACAGCTAAGCCACTGACTGTGCCTCTGGTGGTCTCTCTGGCTTGGTCTGTAGGTGTAGTGGGAAGGGTTCTAGGGGATGGGGTAGAGTTTCACTGCATCTCAGAGGCTCAACAGATTTGTCCAAGCAGGTGCTATGGGGTCACTGGGTCTCACCTGGTCCTGGTAGAGTGTGGGGAGTGGGAGGCCCAGGTGTTAGTTAGGTGGAGTCTGGGGTGAGCTCGAGCATGCTTACCCTGGCACCTAGGGGCAGCGTTAGCAGCACGGGTGTGTGGAACCCGATGTGTTTCAGCTCTGCCCCATGGTGAAGCCTGCCGTTGTTCAGGCCATCATTTTGACATCTTGCCCTGAGCAAGACACGTGTCAGCCTTGTCCCTGCTCTGTCCTGAGAGCTGAG